CATCATCATTATCACATCCGTAATAAGATTTGCGAAAACGAGAGTACATATCGAACAAGAGAGCGAATCTATTTTTATCGAAATTTAAATTCAAATCATCGTAGGGATAAATTTCGAGTTTAGATAGAGTTTAACAGTCGTCGAATGCAGTAATATCTTTTGACACAGCATTTTTTCTGCCAGTCTGCAGCGCAAAGATCACGTATCGCGGTTTTTCCATCTGAGAGACGGCTTTCACGGTCCACGAATGCTTGGTCGTATTATGCAATAGAGGAAATTCGTATAGATCCCAAGAGCGAAAACTCATATTCAAGTATCGCCCGCTTTTCAACGCGCATAGCAAGGATAGTTTATTGACCTCGCTCAATATTTCATGAGGCATACGCCATTGTATCTTGAATAATTCGATATCAGCTTCAGCCGAAGCATGTCCAAATATGCAATTGTTGTCGTTGCGCGAACGTATTAAAATTAATTCGTGACGAGCGTTAATCACAACTCGCTTATAATCTTCGCAAAAACCCAGTAGTATGTTTAGCGGTACGCAAAGATTGAAGTAAGCTTCATCAGCATTATGTGATATATTCCACGCAGCATCCTCCAAGATTTTACCTTTCTCGGCTGTTAGAGAGATATAGTTTTTAATCGTGGAAGTTATTCCAACATTTCTGTTGCGGTCAATCTCCACACCGTCGAGTTCATATCGAAGTTCATCAAACATAAACGCGACACAATTGTTTCCCAATATCACTCTTCCCCTTTCATCTACTTTACGCACCGTCAACTTTCCCTCGACGTATAGAAAACGTTCACATGGTAACCTGTACAAATCTTAATGTTGTATCGGTATCCATATCTCGTCGCTATATCCAAGCGTTGTGTTGGCGTATGGATTGTACGTAAGAGTCTCAATCTTGACGATACGATCGTCAAAGATCGGCTCGCCCCCGATATTCAAGATGTCAATCATATCCTTCAAGTATTTCGTACGACGAATCCCAATGATTTTAAAAACTCGCGATTCAACGCGCTGAGCTTCTTTTTAGCGTAACCAGAGATCTGATTATTGTCACCCGATACCGCAGTCACTCGCCAGTATTTTGTACGACGAATCCCAATGATTTTAAAAACTCGCGATTCAACGCGCTGAGCTTCTTTTCAACGTAACCAGATATCTGATTATTGTCACCCGATATCGCAGTCACTCGCCTTCTCGCAAAAATATTGTCCCTCGTAAAGATATTGTCTCTCACGTGCTCCGTGCTTTTGTTCAACACAAGCATTTCATTTGTCAATTTCCTCTCCTCGAAAATCAAGCAAATGTCCTTCTTGATCAACAATGCGTATCGTTAAATCAGTAATGCTCCGTGCGACGATCGGTAGATAAATGATCTGTGCTGGCGTTTCCGATATCTTATATCCTGGCGGTACGCTCGGTGAAAATTCATGTATCGTGTGTACGCGCTTGTCATTGCTAACGTTGTCTGGTTTACTAAAATTTATTCTATAGATACATTTGATTTCACTCTTTAGCGTATTATGACTAACGCGAAGCATTATTTGATATTCATCGTGTTCTTCGATATTATCTTCGTCATCAAGAATATCGTTGGAATCAACTACGCGTCGATGTCGTAAAATTGCACGTCGGAGATATTCGTTTATAGCGTGTAATTCGTACGATCCCTCGGGAATCTCGTAATTTCCATGTCGTCGTTATCAAAGTAAAATTTATTATTTCAAGAATTCACGTTCGATATCGTATGATAAGTTTCAAAGTCCGTTAAATCAAGCTCATAATCGCCATTGTTTAAATCTATAGCCGGAAAGTAGCTTACAGCAAGAACGCTACTCTTGTCAGTCAACGTAAGTGTGAGTGATATGCTGGAAAACTGTCGAACGAATACTGAATCGCGACGGTGAATTGTCAGGCTTTAAATTCATATCGATCATCGACCGTTTGAAGAAATCGAAGACACATTTGTCCACAAATACTTTGATTATAATTTTGATAGGCCGTGTGATTGTATTCTATATTTGCAACATTCTGTCCAAAATATCGCACTAATTCCTTAGGTGGTCGAAGATTTCCCAAACTATCGAAATATACTACACGATCTCCCCTCTTTGCATACGCAACCCAATGAGTACCGGAACCATCGACGTCATCCAAATTGACGATACCGCTCTCATTTCGCCGTACACCATTTATCGGTAAATTATTGCGGATGAAAATGCCTCTAAAAAATTATATACGCATACGTCTTGCAAGTTGTTCCAATTGTACATTGGTTGTTACACCGGCATGCATTTTTATCGTTATTTTGACGTTTTTTTTTAGCCGCTGTTGAGAACCTTCGTCCACACTTGTATGGAGCGAGATAAAGTCCGTGACCTTCCATGGCGCGATTATGACGTTGCATTTCTTCGAGCTGACGTTGCGCCGCCTTGCTATCGTTCACAGCCTTCGCGATTCCCGCTGCTCCGCCAGCCAACGAACCGAGAACTCCCAATAATGGTAAAATGGGCAAGATACCACCGCGCTTCGCTATAGAAAGTATTCGTTTTTTCACAATCTTTTTCTTCATCGATGATTTTTTTGTTTTCATCCCCATACCGAATGTTGTCTTTGCTTTCATAGCCGCCCAAACAGCTGTAGCGGCTGCTTTTTCGCCAAGAGTCGTATCTCTCGCGGTAATACGTGTTCGCGCTTTCGTGGCGAGTATATTATCCGCAACGTGTCGTTGACCGAGATCGTTGCTTCCAGAATAAGCTATGTCGTGCTCGCGACACGCGGCATCCAATGGATTGATACCTCGATCGCCTCTAGCCAATCGCGTTTCTAAATGAGTTTCCGGTCCGCAAAACTGATAGCCTGGAATATGTAATTCGATAGGAAGTGCGTTTATCACACGATTTAACAAACCGCTACCTCTTATAATTTTTGCTGGCATTTGCCTCAATCTTTTATTAACGGTGTTGGACCATTGAAATGTGTTTGTTGCCACGGCAAATTATAATGTCGTGGGTATCGACGATACTGTTGAACTTCTGAGTCAGCTTTTATATGTTCGGGAAGCTTGTCCCACAATTGTTCCACGTAGCTACCAAAGTCTCGCAGTAAAACAATCTGGGGGATAATCTGTAACTGCTCGGTGGTAAGCTCGAGAATATCGCTGTCAACCGATAGAAGAAGAAACATTTTTGAGACTGAGCGGTTTCGATTCGGTGCGCCTCTATAAATAGGGCCCCAATGACCCATTTTCCAAAATTTGATTTGAGATTCGCAAGAGCAAACATGCGGTTCGCGCGACAAGCGACGATAATCAAAGTGATAAATTTTGACGATAAAACACGAGTAATGTCCGAGAAAGAAATACGCAAGCATGGAAACATGCTGCCGATTACTATACGCGGTATCATTGTCGGTCCTTCGAATTGCGGTAAGACTAACGTGTTGATAAGTTTGATAAAAAGTCCACACGGTGTACGTTTCGAGAATGTGTACGTATACTCGATATCACTTCAACAACCGAAATATCAATACTTGGAAAATTTGCTATTATCGATCGATGAAATTGGTTATTTTACATTCTCTAATAATAGTGACGTTATTCCACCGAGCGAGGCGCTTCCGAATTCCATTTTTATCTTTGACGACGTGGCAAGCGATAAGCAAGATACGATAAGAGAGTACTTTACAATGGGTCGACACTCGAGCGTCGACTGTTTCTATCTTTGTCAAACGTATGCCAAGATACCCAAGCATCTTATACGGGACAATGCAAATTTACTGATTTTATTTAAACAAGATGGTACAAACTTGAAACATGTATACAACAATCATGTACGTCCGTTCAACATCTATTACAAACGTTCGAGGGTCAAAGTACATTGCGCGCACACTTAGGCCCACTAGGGCAAAAATATGTGGGAGCTATGTTGAGTCAAGATAAAAATAACAATATGGATTATGTTTGCGGTGTTAAATTTTGCAACGAAGGAATGATGCTTGGTGTTATAATTTTTGATGTGGATAAAGATGACAATATAATTATCGGTGGAATAAGATGCGTGGGAACACCAGGTCTCTAAGAGTTGATTTTCAAGAGAATGTCCGACGGTGACGTATACAATGACAATGATAAAATTAAATACAAAAATATATTACTGGCGACAAATGCGCATAGACGTGGCAATGATATGCGTAATCCAGTGTTAAGTAACAAGGGATACAAGTATAAAAATATATTAGCGCCATTAATCTTTATTAAAAATATAATAGCGCCTG